TTAAATTATCCCATTAAATGCTTATTAAATTGTACAATAAATTGCTAATTAAATTATTTCATAAATTGCTCATTAAATTGCCATAAATTGCACATTAAATTATCCCAGACATTGCTCATTAAATTGTCCCATAAATTGCTCATTAAATTATCCAAAAAATCGCTCATTAAATTGTCCAATAAATTGCTCATTAAATTATCCCATAAATTGTTCATTGATTTGTCCCATAAACTGATCATTATATTATCTCATAAATTGTTCATTAATTTGTCCCATAAATTGATCATTATATTATCTCATAAATTGCTCATTAAATTGTCGCATTAATTGCTAATTAAATAATCCAATTAATTGCTCATTAAATTATCCAAAAAATTGCTCATTAAATTGTCCAATAAATTGCTCATTAAATTGTCCAATAAATTGCTCATTAGGTTATCCCATAAATTGTTAATTAAATTATCCCATTAAATGCTAATTAAATTGTCCTATAAATTGCTAATTAAATTCTTTCATAAATTGCTCATTAAATTCCCATAAATTGCACATTAAATTATCCCAGACATTGCTCATTAAATTGTCACATAAATTGCTCATTAAATTATTCCAAAAATCGCTCATTAAATTGTCCAATAAATTGATCATTATATTATCTAATAAATTGCTCATTAAATTGTCGCATTAATTGCTAATTAAATAATCCCATTATTTGCTCATTAAATTATCCCAAAAATTGCTCATTAAATTGTCCAATAAATTGCTCATTAAATTGTCCAATAAATTGCTCATTAAATTCTCTCATAAATTGCTTATTAAATATCACATAAATTGCACATTAAATTATCCCATACATTGCTCATTAAATTGTCCCATAAATTGCTCATTAAATTATCCCAAAAATTGCTCATTAAATTATCCCATGAATTTCTCATTACATTATTCCATAAAATGCTCATTAAATGATTACATAAAATGCTAATTTAATTATCCCATGAAATGCCCATTAAATTATCCCATAAATTTCTCATTAAATTATTCCATAAATTGCTCATTAAATTTCCCAATAAATTCCAATAGAAACAGGTAACTATCGATTTTAAACTTGTATTCCCGAAATAAATTATTAAAGGAAATAAAGGAACCCCCCACCCGCCTTGAAATATTCAATATTGATAGCTTTTCTGTATAGTTCTCTGGTTTTATTGAATTTGGAGACGCATGACAAAAATAACGATGATTGGTAATAGAAATTACTTACCGAGGCCATGGTACTGTTTGTAATTCTCTTGCGGCCAATACATTCTATAGCAAATACGTTTAAAAAAAAAAGGCGAAAAGCCATACTTACTGGTAAGATTCCACACTATCTGTTTCACCGAATCAAATGATGGGGGAAAAGAAAAAAGAACTATGAGAGTTACTTATACGATGCCTGAAGCACGCCAGGCAGATTCATGTGAGACGTCTGGCAATCTTTCGCCCATGTAATCACTGAGAGACCTGTCCTAGTCCATGGCACCACCTGTGCAATTTCCCACAGTGACTAACAACTGACAAACGTGCAATGGCTTAATTTTAAAGTTACCTTTGCTAATCACTGGGGTCTTTTTTTTTTATTGTTTCTTTATCATTTTTATTTTCCTTGGTTGAGATTATGCGATCTTTGAAATCTTGCTGGTCTTTGTCTTGGTCGGTTGATCTCCTGTCTGGCTAGTGTTTCTGAACTGTGTGACTTACATATTTTTTTTTTTTTTTTTTTTCTCTCTCTCCCCCCCCCCGTCTCTCTCTCTCCCCCCCGTCTCTCTCTCTCTCTCTCTATATATATATATATATATATATATATATGTGTGTGTGTGTGTAGAGAGAGAGAGAGAGAGATGAGATAGAGAGAAAGAGAGAGACTGGCATTTTTTAGCAATTAAAAATCAGTTTCGTGTTGGGGGGCGGGGGAATAATATTTCACTCGCACCAGGTGTCACAAACCTTGGTTACGCCGCTGTTGTTAGCAATGTTTAAACAACAGTAATTGACAGTCGCACTCATTAAACCAAAGTTGTGACACACAAAGAAAACACCTGCTGCTCGTGCAGGCTACAATCGACTTACGGCTGAAGTCCGGGCAGCTGTTCAGAAGGCGAAGAAATCGAAGTGGGTAAGTGCATGTGGAAAAACTTGATCTTCAGGACGGTCGGAAGGTGTGGAATCTGCTCGAGTGTCTCTCTGGTGCGGGGAAGGCAAAAACCCGCAGCCACTACCATCAGGCAAAGGCGTCGAGGCGACCGACGCAAAAACGGCAAAGGTGCTCAACGTTCACTTCGCCAAAGTGAACAAGAAGGCAAAAGAGACCCAAGAGCATTGGGAAATCCGCCGTCTGAGGAAAAGGGGAGCTCGTATCCAGCGTACTGGACCCCACCCCGAGATCTTCACAACTCCCTTCATAATGGAAGAATTGCGCAGCGCGCTTGATAAGTGCTTGGCGGCGAAAGCACCAGGACCAGACAAAGTTCACAATGAAATGTTAACCCATCTGGGCAAGCAGGGGAGAGAACTTCTGCTGGCTCTCATTAACCAAACTTGGACTACAGGTATTTTACCGAAAGTGTGGAAGCAGGCCATAGTAATTCCCCATACCAAAGGAGGGAAAACCAGGACATTTACCAAGTAGCTTTAGGCCGATATCGCTAACGTCTTGTGTGGGAAAAGTGGCCGAGCGAATGGTAAATGGACAACTCTACTGGTTCTTGGAGAGTAATAAGTGCCTACCACCGACGCAAGGTGGCTTCCGTAAGGGTCGCCAGTCCATGGACCAGGTAATCCGTCTTGTTCAGTCCATTACCGACGAGCTTCAGGAGAAAAATCATTCGGTGGTATTTTTCTTTGACCTCAAGCAAGCGTATGACCGAGTGTGGCGCGCAGGCCTCATGTACAAATTCCAGAAGCTGGGTATCACTGGAAAAATGTCCGCGTGGATGACGGACTTCCTCAAGAACAGGACTATTGCCACGCGGGTTGGCAATAGTCTGTTGAAGTGGCGTACTCTAGAGGACGGACTCTCCCAGGGGTCCGCCCTCAGCTGCACTTTGTTCTTGGCGTACGTTTACGACTTGCATGAGGGCTTAGTGTACGATAACGCCATGTTCGCCGAAGATCTAGTAATCTGGACCTCTGGTAAGGACATCAACCATCTGCAGAACCGGCTGCAAAATGATCTGCATAGCATCGAAGACTATGCGAGACGGTGGAAAATGGTTGTGAACACCGAGAAGACGGTTTACTCTAAGTTCACCAATGGAAGGAAGGCGCTTAAGGTCGATTTAAAACTCTCCATAAACGGGAAAGATTTGGTATGGGACAGGACACCAGTCTACCTGGGGGTAAAGTTGGATCAGAAACTCCGGCTTCACCACCATGTACACGAACTGTACGCCAAAGCTTCACAAAAATTGTGCTTGGTGAAAAAGCTGGCTTGCACTAGATCGGGCGCATACGCAAGACTGTTAAGGTCGCTCTACCTTAGCAGTGTGAGGGGAACTATGGACTACAGTTTGCCCGTCCAGACCTTCGCTAGCCGCACGGCTCTAGAGGAACTGGACCGCATTCAAAACCGTGCTCTAAGGCTTGTATGCGGGGCAATACGAAACACACCGACGGTGGCAGTGGAGATCAGGGCCAATGTCGAACCGCTCGAGGTCAGGCGGGAGAAGGCAGTCCTTACGACGTTAGAACGTTACCGGCCATTGGGAAGGGAAGAACCCTATTTCCAATTACAGGACGAATGGGTAAAAAAGTCCAGATTGAAGAGACCATCCTTCATGGACACGGTGCACAGTCTTGAAGAAGACGTTATTTTACCCGGAAACCTGGAAAAAGTGAAAGTGATCCCCGCGCGGGGACCTCACAAAAATCTCCCCCCTACCAAGCACGATTGAAGCTTACCCGAACAGCCTGGTTAAAGTCTTCCCAGACGGCTCGTGTTTTACGAGGGAAAAGCGTAGCGGCTACGGTGTCCTCATCCAGTATCCCGCAGAGATAGCTCCACCCGAGGAATTATCAGGCCCATGAGGTAGTAATGCAACGAGCCTCGATGCGGAAATCGAGGCGATACTGGTAGCTCTCAAGAGGGTTTGCCAACGGCTAGCGAAATGAAAGTCCTTCCCGGACGTTGTGGTCTTCACCGACTCTCGTTCTGCTCTCGAACTCATGAGGGGGGGGAGATCGGTGGGATCAAAAATGGTTACAGCTATTCTGGAAACAGTAGGCTCCATCCATGCACATGGCTCTAAGGTCCACTTACAGTTTATCGCTTCGCACTCAGAAGCGTCGCTTCCTGACAGGGCAGATTTCTTAGCCAAAGAAGGCGCAGCCCTACCTCAACCAGACAAACCCATGACTCAGCTCGGAGTCACCGCCTGGGTAAAAGACGATTTCAAGGAGAAATGGCACAGAAGGTGGGACACGGCCACTACTGGACGACAGCTTTACCAGAAAATGCAGCGGCCGAGCAAAAGCGACCCATGGTGGGAGCTTAGTCGTGGAGAACAAAGCCTTATCTCACAGATGAGAACTGGGCACTGCGCGACGCGCAGTTATCTCCACCGACTCGACAACAGAAGGGAGCCCTTGTGCCGACAGTGTGGACTCGAGGAGGAGACAGTAGCCCGGTAGGAATCCGGAAGCCTGCCTCAATGAAGTCCTTTACGGTAGCGCCCAGCAGATGAGGCGCGCCGTAGAAATCGTGTCCGGGGTCCTAAGAGATTGAATCTCGACCCTTTTGAGTATTGAACTTTATTAATAGAGTAGTCGAAGCTGACATATGAACGTGTCTTCCAAACTTCATCAAGATCAATCTTATGTTCGCGCGTATTCTGTGTCTGTTTTTTTGAATGGTCCGTAAAAATGGCCTTTTTTTATTTAAAAAAAAAATTTATCAAAAAAAAAAAATTGCAAAAAAAAAACCCAAAACAAACAAAATAAACAATAACAAAAAATAACACTTTATGGTAAATTAAAATTATGGATTGTTATTTAACAACAAGCTAGCTATTAAACACGATTCAAATACATCAAATTATGACTCATATTACTTTACTATTTTATTCCATCTATTACCAATTTTTTTTTCTACATTTAAACAAATGAAAAAAATATATAATAGTGTTTTCCCCTTAATCTTTACGGTTCCACGCGAACAGCCAACGACGGGACGGCACATCTATGACCAGTAAAAACGTGTCCGGTGGTGCTGGTCAGCTCGGACAGTGTCGTGGCGTTCATGGCAGGAAGCAGGAAGGTCTTCTCGGCGGCGTCGTCACAGTCGCTGATACTGAGGGTCGTGCGGTTAAGAGAGTAGGCCCCAAAGACGTCATCCTGGAACGACGTGATGATTTTCACGTGTCAAATGGGGTAAGAATGCCCCAATATTGAACCTTTGCTGCGTATCTAAAGGGCACACACGTCTATTAAATATCCTAAGTCACACTGGCTGGAATATTGAATAGCCTTTTTAAAATTTATATCTTACCTTTATTCTAATTATCTGATAGGGAAAAAAATGTAGGTACTAATCCACACCTATAGTGTCACTGGGTTTCAAACATTGAAAAGATTGAGAAAGTCTATCTCACCTTGTCTACGCGTATCTCACCTTGACTACGTGTATCTCACTTTGACTACGTGTATCTCACCTTGACTACGTCTATCTCCCCTTGACTACGTCTATCTCCCCTTGACTACGTCTATCTCACCTTGACTACATGTATCCCACCTTGACTACGTCTATCTCACCTTGACTACGTCTATCTACCCTTGACTACGTCTATCTCACCTTGACTACGTCTATCTCCCCTTGACTACGTGTATCTCACCTTGACTACGTCTATCTCACCTTGACTACGTCTATCTCACCTTGACTACGTCTATCTCACCTTGACTACGTGTATCTCACCTTGACTACGTCTATCTCACCTTGACTACGTCTATCTCACCTTGACTACGTCTATCTCACCTTGACTACGTGTATCTCACCTTGACTACGTCTATCTCACCTTGACTACGTCTATCTCACCTTGACTACGTGTATCTCACCTTGACTACGTCTATCTCACCTTGACTACGTCTATCTCACCTGGACTACTTCTATCTCACCTTGACTACGTCTATCTCACCTTGACAACGTCTATCTCACCTTGACTACATGTATCTGTTGGGGCACTGGCACATTATGCGTCCTTATCCATCCCGGCTCACATAACACAGAGTTGGAGCCTACGTACTGGTAACTTCCTCTGCGGGAGACAAAGAGATGAAGTTCTTCGCAACGTAAGCTATATGAACAAATGATGATACACATACAACTTTGTTCCAAATGCTACATACATTGCTACATAGCATTAGTATTATTATTACTATATTAATTATTATCCACTCAGCCCTAAATTTGGGTACTCACCCCGAATGTCTGTAAACCAGGAGGTCAAGAGTGCCAGATTTCTCACAAAAGTAGTACCATTTTGTGATTTTACCCGCAAAAGGTATCCTAAAAACAACAAAACAATTATATATATATCAACGAAACAAAAATGTGTTAACTAAATATTAAAAAATAAAAAAAAAATAAGAAGCGTTACATCAATAGACACCATCAAGTATAAAACCAAACGTAGAATTAATTACATGAAATTTATTTTTTATTCATACAGCACACATGATGAGGGTTTAAGAGATTTGTCCTCGTTTACGAATTATTGTTTTAAGAATATAGTTGCTGGCATCTTTAAAGTTTTAAAATGCAAACATTTAAAATAAAAATTCGTTGTTTTTTTTATGTCATCAACAGTTAATAGGAAACACTTGCTTAATTACAGCGGATTAATCTCAACCTGTGGGCAGAACCCCTTTGAGGGTTCGAACGAACCTTTTCCATGAGGTCCCCTAAGACCATCGGAAAACACCACTACTCAAATATGGTCGCAACTAAAGTAATTATGTGGTTGGGGGGTCGCCACAACATGGGGAACTGTGATAAAGTTTCGCGGCATTAGAAAGGCTGAGGACCACTGAGCTAACACATTCTGCGTTATGTATTCGACACGCATGTTTCTGACACACACACACACATAACCGTCTCGATAAACACGCGATTGACCTTAAGCAGCAAAGCACCCAAAACTAGTTTAGAAGAAAAAAAAAATTGCCGGATATGGAAATACCTGTAGCCGTCATGGTCCAGTAGAATAGCCAGGCGTTCAGGTAAGGTCTCCCGGCGTCTTCTGAGCATGTCGACTTTGATGTCTACAGCCACGGGCGCCGCTTCATTGAATTGTGTGCAAAGAGATCACACATGTTCATTGAAATGTTTTAAAATTGGTCAAATACAGTGTTTAATTCGATGATTTAATTATTTAACTAGCCGTACATAACTGTGCATGTTAGCCAGATGGTTCGCTAGCTATACTTGGGCCAAACTCTGTAAAAAAAAGTCTGTGGTGTGTGGGTGTGGGGAGGGGGAGAAATTCTGAGAATTGGGGCTCACAAGGGAGCAATAAGATCTTGGGCTCGGGTTGCTGACGTCATTCCTAATGAACGATTCCATTAAGACCCAGACATACGTTGGTGGGAAAGCGTTAAGCTCTCCCGACTGTGTGTAACCACTTGGAAAAGTGATAAGGAGACAAATTTGTTTTAAAAAAACACACAAAAATCCCCACAAAGATGGTTTCAAACACCCCAGGCAGACACAAACTGATACACACGAACGCTCGGCTCTATAGTTGTGTATGTATGTGTTTGCAGGTCGTGGAATGGGTGAGCAATTGAGGGGGGGGGGTCGATAGGGAATATTTCTAAGCGGTTAAGCGAACTAGCGATTCGAAAGATCATGTCCATTAAAATTATTTAAGAAATGGGAAAAAAAATCTGGGAATCGTAAAAAAGGACATCGGTAAGAGATTTGGTTTCTATGTTAGTGAAAGTATGTCAACGTATAATGGAACAGCAAAATAACTTGTGTAACTTGTTCAAACAGTGTCTCGCGGATTGCAATGACGTGTTGAAGGGGAAGACAAGACGGTTTATCTAGTGACAAATCAAGTACCTTGGCAAACTGGTTCCGCCCCTAGGAGGTGGCCGCGGTATGAGCACGCCCTCGTCAGGTCTCCGCCCACGTGATACAGATTGGGCTTGCACGTGAAGGTCATGACCTGTCCTACACTTACAGTGACCTGAGACGAAGTTCTCGTCAAGGTGCTGCTGCCCAGGTCTGAACACTTGGCTCCACCATTAGAGACTTAAAATCAAAGTATTTTCAATGTATGATTCGATTAAATTATACTTAGAACCTATCGAGAATGTTTTTTTTTGTTGTTTTTTTTGCATAGCTGCATTTACTGTTAAAACATTTAAAGCATTTGTGATAAGAAATGAATCAATTTCAATTTAAAAGATTTTTTTTTTTTCATTTTCAATGAAACAAAAGAACTTTCTCTAATTCTAGTAACGTGAATCTGAAAAAAAATTGTACATTATGTTCATTTTTTTTAAAAACATCTCTGGCAACGCTACACAATATTTTATGAGTCATATTCTTACACTCCAAGAAGTGAATCTGTAAAATTTAAAATAGCATGACTCGACAACGGTATAAGGATAAGCCTGCCCCCTTTTTTTTCCCAACAGACATTAAGAAAATAAGGACCAAGGCTTGACAATAACCTTGGCAGCGTCCGCACGACTTTCTGCAATATCTCACAGCAGACGCCGAGGACCTCCCAACACGACAGAATCCTGGGAAGGCAGCGATGACGTCAGCGCAGGTGCGAACACGGTCGTTGCAGACACTGGAAACTGAACAAAATGGTATCGAGAATTTTGGTTTTGTTGTTGTTTAGGAAACTGCCGAAAAATTTCTCGACGTCATGAAAAAATTTAAAACATCGCTGAAAAAACAACAATAACAACAACATTTTGCGGACAAATCTTTTATAAAATGTAATATCGGGCAACGTGGGGGGCTGAACATTTAACAATACATCCATACAAGGAACGCACTTTATAAGAATCACAATTAGTCCCCCTCCCCCCCCCCCCCCCCTCCCCCCCCCCCCCAACATTAGGATCACAACCGCAAATCTGACGTCACGCCCTTGAACTATATTAATATTCAAATGACCCATCCGCAACCAACCATTTCAGAAAAAAACAGAAGACAATATTAAGCACCAATCGCCATTGCGATCTTTTGGTAAGAAGCGTATGAACTCAATTGTCGGGAATTTTATTTCGTGAAATCAGTATCAGCATATTTCCTTCAAACATCCACTTGAAAAAGGTTGACATTTGGAGTTCGGGATTGGTGGGCGGGGCTGAAAATTTGACAGAATTTGTTGTCTTCGGGATAAAAATCTACGAGCCAAGTTTCAGCTCGATAGGCTGATGGGAAGTGGGTCAATTATCCGTCCGAAGATTTTGTCAACCAGGCACGAAAAACAGCGAAGTTAATTTAAACTATTTTTTTTTAAAGTGGTAATTCATTTCTATGACATTCTAGTCATCCTATTCTGTCATGGTAATCCATGTGAATAATAAAACCTACTTCGCCGACGGCCAGGGCCTACCTGAGTTATCCACCTGACAGACGTACGGGGCAACATGTTTCCCGTCACAAGGCAGCGTCGTCCACCCACCCTGGTTGTAGTCTGCTTCGTACTCGGCGATGAGCTGGATACAGTTGAAAGACATTCGAGTCGTTTCTGGAAGAGAGTTGAACAAACAGAAACAAAAAAAACGAAATGAGAATATAATCTATTACTGTGCATTCTGCATTTTAAAAAAATAAAAAATCCATGAAAGCAGAATTTACAATATTCCTTACTTGTTCGAAGGTTCAGAGAGCAGGTAAATAATTTTGAGCTTTCCATTTTTACATTCAAATGTTATCCAAAAATGAATAAAATATGAAGGATTTCTATGCAAAAAATTGGTCTCAGTTAGGTTTTAAAAGTATAAAATTGCTTCTCCAAACAAATAAATAATGTATTAGTTTGCATAACCGCTGTGGGTTTTTAAACTGTACTACTAGTGGAACCTGGTGGACTTTGGGATCAACTATACTGAACACGGTTTAAAGACATCTCTTCAAAACAACTATCTACACGTATCACCCTCAATGAACATCTAAAATGCAACAGCTTGTAAAAAAATGAATAGGATAGAGCCTATACACATTTACAAAAACCTTGTTTGAGAATAAGAAACATTGCGAACTTAATTAGTTTTGTAAAACAACAATTTCAACAAAAGAAAAGTTCCGATGGAACTTTCCGGCATATGAAATGATAATAGAATGACATTGAAACCTGCTGTGGTCGACCAGTTGAAGTACGTCATCGTGTCGCCCGAGTCCATGATCCACTGTCCGTATTCCGACTCCAGCTCGCCACTGATCCAGTTGTCGTGCCCGTAGCTGCACACAAGAGTAACACACCAGTCAGCGACTCAGTTCCCACACGAAGAGAATGACTTTAAAGTTATGGCGGAAAGCTATTAATAGAACATACGGGCATTCTATTTGGCCAATCTCACTGAATGGCGGAAAGGTATAAATGAAACATCCGGGCATTCCATTTATCAAACTGTCAACAGCTGGTCGGTACTTCTATGCGTTAATTAGAGCCAGGTTAGTGGGTCTTAACCTAGACGAAAATTGGTTTACAACTTTATTTTACGAACGATTTTTACCCCCCCCCTTTCCCCAACATTTTTTTGTACCGCTTTAAATATACATGCATGCTGACATGCATTGTTGTCAGCCACGTTTTTACGAAAAAACCTGGTCGAAAAAATAGTACAGTAAGGCAATGTAAAGTGGCGTTTTCCAGTCTTAGAAATGGCAACAAACATTGAACAAGTGCAGGCGTGAGGGCGTGGGGGAAGGGGGCGGGACAGCTTTTTGCATGAACCACTAATATGTGGGTCATTGTCTTTTCGTCTATTCCTTTTTCTTCCTACATTCCGATGCAGCCACATCGCGGCAGTTGCTTTATGCAACCAGCTGCAGCTGATCGATATTTTATTTAATACACTCCAATTAGACCTCTATTATTCCAACTTTTTTTGTTTTTTTTGTTTTTTGTTTCTTCCCAGTGTTTAGCTCATCGTGTTAAAATTGACCTAAAAAATAAATCATCCAATTAACGAAGTAGATGTTAAAATTGGGATCATGATTGGTCCATTGTGAGCGCGTCTTGAAGCCTGTGTCGAAGCTAGCGGTGGAAATTTTGAATAGAGTACAAACAATAGTTTAATCGAGTTTAAAAATTATTTTAGAATGAAAATGTGGTTTGGATTGTAACAAATTCATAAACATTTACCATTTGTTTTCATCATTTAAAAAAAAAAAAGGCCCACCACCCCTTTTTTTATCTCCAGAAAACTGTGTATCTACATGAAATTCTGCATACACTAGGTTCTCTTTCCGAGCCCAGTTTGCAGTACTACTAATTGCCCACTTAAATCTTGCTCAACATTTCTACGGATTGTGCCTGCAATAATAGTACTCGCACGCTTCTGTCTGACCGTTCAGATAACAGATGAAATGTAAGACCAAGTACCCCTCCCCACCAAAATAAAACAACATACAACTATTCCCTTAATATGTCAAGAGATGGCTCACTTCGCTCCCAGGGATGATTTAAACTTGCGTATCATTTGTTGGTCCGCCAGGCTCCTGACCTCAAACAGTGTGCCCGTCGGGTCATGCGACCGGCATATGGCCGCAGCTTCCCTCCGGGTCAGTCCGGAAACGGAATAGTTAAAACACCTGTCTCCGTAAGGGATCCAGTTCTCCGGACAGCCTGTGGGGAAAAAGGGGGGGGGGGCGCGGCATTCATCAACAAGCATGAGGTAATCGTTTGAGAACAAAAAAAATAATTAAGAGTAATTTTTGTTTGTGACTCTTCTCTTATTTCAGCTTTACTCTTCTCTCCACTCGTCACCAACTTTTTTTTTCTTTCTTCTTTTCCCCTTTTAAAAAAAACAAAAAACGTGTGTTTACTCTCTTTCTTTCTTGTTTGAAAGTGTGATCAAGGTTTACTCGAATGAGACTTTAAATACAGCTACAGCTAACTACATCAGACAGAAATTCATAACAAAAGTTAATGAAAATAATCAAGTCAACTAGAGCCATCGCGTGGGCTCTGAAATGCCTGCGACTACAGTCGGCCTCGGATATTTAAAGGGTCCAAATTTGTGATTGTTTAAATATTTTATTTTATTTTTTTTGGGGGGGGGTGTTGGGGGGCATGGAATTTTAAATTTTGAATGCCCGGGGCTTTAAAAATGAAAAGAAGCATGGGGGCTCAAAAAGTCACGTGACGGGTATGACGTCAGATAATTTGTGATCACTCAAATGTACCATTACACCCAAAGGCCTGTCCCGACCAGCCGTCGCTAGTGCATCTGATCTCGTTGATCAAAGCGCCAGAACTGCTACATGTTATGTTGATGACCTCCCCTTCTGCATACAGCGTCCTCAGGCCACCATTGACGATAACGTCAGGTGGTAAACTCGGGGCGGAACAATTCGCTAAAACAAAAAAAACAAAAAAAAGTTGGACCCCCATAAGTCTTTTGACAGTATAAACCGGCTAAAATATCTATGTGAGTACACATGATTCAAAATTGTTTTGAACACAATGAAAATGTACACGACTCAGTATAAATGTTGGCAATCCAACATGAGGAAAATGACGCGCCACTTTTGACATTAGTTGGACCTATAAAAACAATTGGTCAGCTTAGTGGACTTCCCGTTTTTGACATATTTATTATTATTTTTTTTTTGTTGATTTGACAAATTTTGAGTCTTTCATAGACACGTTCCTGAAAATAATCCTTATACATAAGACGAATGTTCATCATTAGTGTACCTGTGGATCTGTGTGTATTCTGATCGATGTATAGGTATAATTTCATGATTAATATACTTTTGGATCTCTGAGCCTATGGATTGATTTATAAGTATAATTTTCATCGTTAGTGTTCTTGTGGATATGTGCACGCACTGGATGAGTCCGTCCCTAAAACTATCTCTGTCCCCGCGAGCCCTAAGAGCAAGTGGCAACGTCGATCCATTTAAGAGTCTTTTTTTTTTTTTGTTGTCTAATCGAAAAATAGTCATTTTAAATAGAACTTACCAGGCGAATGGTATTGCGCGGGAAATCCACAAGTTTTGAAGCATCCAAACCGCTCGACGGCCGTGTTACAGAAATCGGGGATGGTCGACTTCAGAGCTGCGCAGTTCTTGATCATGTCAACTGGCGACTCTGTTGGACAGGAATTTTTTGGTGATCAGGATTTTGTCGATCGGTTATAACTATACGGAGGGGCGTAACGGGACTCAAAGTCGCTCGGGGCTTAATCTCAAAGTTGGTCTTCACAAACATCTCTTATATACTTTTGAAAACAAAGATATAATTCGAAAGGCGCAAAATGAGGTGGTCCCCCCCCCCCCTTAGCCCCCCCCAAGATGCGCCGGTGGGGCCAGGTGTGAACGTTCGCGACCAAGCTGCTTGTAAAAAAGAGGAGGCCATTTTTTCAAATTTTTTTTTTTTTTTTTTACTAACAGAGACTTATGAGATTTTGCAAGTGGCGTCCTCGTAGATGAACAATTTATTTAAACACTTTTAGCATCCAATGTTAAGTTACGCTTTTTTTTTTCTTCTGCTAAATTCTAAAACTATGCATCAATGAGGAGTTGTGTTAAGCTATATGTAAATAACATGATCTTGACATTGAAAGAAATCATTTCTATAGTAAAAAAAAAAATAAGTACACGACTCATCACATAAATAAAAAGACTAACAACGAAAAGTAATCCATCGTGGATAAACACATTTGTTTAGTTTCAGAGAGAGAGAGAGAGAGAGAGAGAGAGAGAGAGAGAGAGAGAGAGAGAGAGAGACCGAGGCGTGGAAGAATGGAAGATATAGAAAAAAAAAAAAAAAAACAAGACTCATCACAAAAAAAAAAAGACTAACAACGAAAAGAAATACATCGTGGATAAACACATATGTTTAGTTTCAGAGAGAGAGAGAGAGAGAGAGAGAGAGAGAGAGAGAGAGAGAGAGAGAGAGACCTAGGCTTGGAAGAATGGATGATATGGAAAAAAAGATCTACAGAAGCTGTGAATCCATGGATGGAAAATAAAAGCATCATTTGGGTCTGAGTGGAAGGAAGTGTTGAGGCAGGCAAAAGCCCTACGTGGGCAGTAGCGCCAGAGGGGTGGGCGGATGGATGGATTTAAAGAGAGAGAGAGAGAGAGAAAGAGAGAGAGAAAGAGAGAATAGCTACTAATTGTGTAGGAATGTCGTTGAATACTTATGTTGCAGACGTCACAGTAACGCCTGTGGCACACAGATCCACGCACGAACACGTAGCACCAGGGCTGGATCAGTGCACCGTTGGGGTTTCGGCAGCTGTTCCCGCTCTCCAGCAGAGTTATCCCGTTGAGCCTGAAGTCAGAAAATCCGTGGCGGTTGTAACGCGGTAGCGATGGTAACAAGATATCAGTTCATCATGACTTTTAACACAGGTTCCAACAATGTTTGGGGGGGGGGGGTATTTCAGGGTATTAACCATCGCCGGGAAACAAAAAGGGAAACAAAAAGGGGGGGGGGGGGATATTTCAGGTTATAAACATACGCGGGAAACAAAATAGGGAAACAAAAAGGGGATACAACTAGGAGATACAGACATGGTATACAAACATGGTATACAAACAGGGGAATACAAACATGGGACACAAACAGGAGATGGCTTTTGAATAGAAATATCTAGAAACGAGTCTAACAGTGGGTTTACCCATCGAATGGGAAATCGTCACAGGTAGTCGCCTTGGCCCAAGGGATGCAATCTTCGTATGTTTCTGATATGGATTTGTTTCCGAAATAGTCTGCCCCTTTCTTATCTATAGCGTAGCATTCGTCCTCAGCTTTAATAACAAAAGAAATAAAAAAAAGGTCAACATTTCTTTAGTGAATCCTGAGATCCATGCAAGGAAAAAAAAAACAGAAGTAAAAAAAAACCCACCTAAATTTGTTTAAAATTAAAGTGTTAAAATTAGTTTGACCAAAGATTGATGTGTCAAATTAGAAGGCATAACTGTTTCAGGCTTGCTTTACCTGGGATGAGGTCAACGGTAAAGTTAACCCCCTTTCTCGTGGTTGCCTCCCATGACGCCCAGAACTGCAAGGAGAGATAATCCGTTTCGCTCACCAACTGATAAGGCGGGTTAGCGTTATCTACCCTGTAGAGAGAGAGCCATGGAGAGATTGCAGGCGTCATGGTCAGTGATGAAACTTGGACACTAAAACTATCTTAAATAGGGTCAATACATTTGTGCTTATTAGGATTGTTCCGTGGACGTCGATATGTATGACCTGATTTTGATGTGAAAGAAATGGAACAATTTACAAACGTAACATTCTATTGATAATTTTAACTTATGATTTGTGTCCATACATATTCTAACTCTTAACAAGTTATTTTTCTGACATAAAAGTCACCATATGTTAGAAAAAAAGTTGTTAGAGTTGCTTTATGACCCGATCCTCCAAAACTTAACTGGTAAGGATTCTGCCACTTGTGGTATTTTTTCACCAGAAATTGATCGTTGTCATGGAGATGTAACTCATTTATTGTCAGCCTAAGGCGTGCATTCTCTGGTACCTGGAATAAAAACATATTTGGGGTGGGTGGGGTGGGGTTGGGGGGTTGTGAAATCATGTGCGCGACCACAAAGAATATTTATAGAAGTGTTTAGTTCGAACTCGTCCGAATCGAAGGTCATTTTTGACGTTATTATTTTTTCTTTTTTCATAAGTTTTCATTTAAAATTGACGTGTTAGGTGTTTACAAACAAAATAATGAAAATAATGTTAATTTGTGACACTGCCTCAAGTTACTATTGAAATTTCAGGATACGAAAAGCTAAAAAAAAAAAAGAACTGATATATTATACCTTCAATACTCACATCTTAAAGATTCCTGTGAGTAAAAATAAATACAGCTTAATAACTCATGTGAGTTAATTAAAATTAAACATCAAATTTTACTTACCATCCGAACGAACATTTCAATTAAAGATCGAATTTCCTAGAATTTTTTTTTTTAGCTGCACGCTCTACCAGCAGACATAAAATCTAAAAGATTTTTTTTTTTCTAGAAGTAAGAACAAGAGACATTTTACACTTAATCTAAAAACCCATAACATTTTCAACACATTAGCAAAATATATAGAAATAGCCTACCGCTTACGAGAACAACTTTAACTGCTCACTTTGTAAAAGGGCCATTAGTCTCTAATAGATTACTTACGTTAAAGCCGTAAAAGCATCTCCTGTTGGGCTCCCTGGCAGCGTGAAACCCTGGGGTCAGCACGGTGACGGATCTGTTTGTGCTGGTCAGATTGAACACCTCGTTGCAGCCTGGGCCATACAGAGTTAGCGGTCAAGGATGTTATTGAAGCCACCCACGATTGACATAAGTACACTTTGTAATAGAGTAGCAAGCTGAGTAGATTAAGTTTTAACTAAAATGGATCCCGAAGTCTTGAACACACAAAAAAAAAACAACGGCACTGATGTTAAACAAAAGATCTGTTCAAATTGAAATTTCGTCTTGCTTCCGATTCGGCAATTTTTTGTCCACGTATCTTTTAAACGGACTCATTGTGATTGGCCAATGCATCGATTGCCGAGTGATTGATTATGATTATTTTAAGCTGTGTGGAGTTCCGCAAAGCCAGATCTTGTCACGGGAGAAAACAAGGAAGACAAAATATTTGACATTTGATAACTTAAATGTTCTTAGATCACAATCTAGCTTTGATCAGCTGCTGTATTGATACTATCCCTCATCTGCTGATTAAGGCATTTAGCCTCAATGTTCTTTTAATTGTTCTATCTTTTTTTTTTCTCCAAACCTAAACACATCTTATTCGGCTATGCATGTACTTCACGCGACTTGAACGCACCCCCCATATACTATCCTTTTTCTTTGTATCTGTCCTGTCACCGCTTGTCTAAAGGTAATACATCTAACACGTTCACTATATCCGGCTATGAGCAATATATGTGAAATTTAAACAGGGGCGTATCGCTAGGTAACGGTAGGGTGCTCCCCGGGCGAGATACGATTCTTACCGCGCTCTTTACACGATTAAACACCCTGAAGTTGCACGACAATGCCATCCCTCCTTATGAAATAAAACAAAATATTATTAAGTGCCACTTAGCGCCGAGGACACAGACACCCCTCTGCCTACGCCACTGGACGTGAACAAAAAATCTCTATATGATCAATCACAATCTCAATTTCAGATCAGTCGTAGATTTGGCTTAAGAATACGGGGAAAATAATAATAAATCGTAAATGTTGGTAAAGTTCACTTGGCATTTCTTTCTCTTGAAATCATGAATAATCAATGTAATTTTTCGCTTGTCTTTTATCAACACTTGTCTTTAGACAAAGCAATGTCAAATGCGGAAACAAAAATATGAATATATCGTAATATGGTCAATAATAGAAATATTCCTCTCTACGGTATAATTACTAGTGAACAATGTCTTACCATAGGTGGGAGGTTGGTAGTAGCACTGATAGTGATAGAACCCATTCGGGTAGAAGTAGCTCAGTGGCGGGACGGGACCAATGGACTTGGAGCTTACAGTCCAGAAGGTGAAAGGAGAATATGTGCTTCTCATACCTGTGATAAACATATACAGACGAAAAATATGTCAGTACTTTTGGAGAGACGACTTCTTATACATGTTTTTTTATGTTAGTTTATGCTTACAAAAAAAAAATATAAGGGATCGAATCAAAGAGATTCGATTTAAACAAAAGTGGGCGTCTGTCCATCAAGCCTACATGATGTTGAAGCACTTAGACACACTGATACTGGCTTGCATCTCACTGTGTATATTTTACTCTGCTTATAGCATATCTGCATATTATGTGATAGAGGTACCCACAACACTCCTGTGTTACCCCCCCCCCCCAAAAAAAAAACCCACAAAAAAAAAACAAAAATAAACAAACAAAAAATAAACAAAACACAACAGCAACAGGAATGACTTAAAGAGGACCACCTGTGGTAAGCGCATTTTGATGATGGCTCAAGCATTTAAAAGCCAACGCATTACGTTACCATCTTAATAATCAAAGTGTTCATAATTTAAGTGTTTATAATCTATGTGTCCATAATCTGAGTTATTATAATCTAAGTATTCATAATAAAAGTGTTCAGAATCAAAGTGTCCTTAATCAAAGTGTCCATAATCAAAGTGTCCATAATCAAAGTGTGCATAATCAAAGATTCCAAATCCATAATCAAAGTGTCCATAATCAAAGTGTCCATAATCAAAGTGTCCATAATCAAAGTGTCCATAATCGAAGTGTTCATAATCAGTGTCCATAATCAAAGTGTTCATAATCAAAGTGTCCACAATCTAATTGTTTATAATCAAAGTGTTCACAATCTGATTGCTCATAATCAACGTGTTCATAATCTAACTGTCCATAATCAAAGTGTTCATAATCACTCGTACAGGTGAAACGAATCTTATAAATTAATTTTTTGAAGCTTTCTTTGTTTAATAAAGTGGATTCATGTTATTAGTATTTGAGACCCAATGCTGACATTTTCTTCTCTTTTTTTTTCTTCATAAAATGTTATGAACTTGTAGGTAAATTTTGAATGTTCAAAGTAATTTTAATTAATTTCTTAAAAAATAATTCTTATGCTTTATTCTTTTTGAAAGAACTAGATCTAAGTAAAAACTTAAACATTTCTATTAATTCCCAATTAAAAAACAAACTTAAACAATAAGCAGTTTAAATTTCCATCGCGTTCTCTAATTTCAAGGGTATATACTGAATAAGTAAATAAATAAATAAACAATGGCTTAAAATTGCATTTCATTTGGTTTCCCATGTATCTAAAACATGAAGTATAAAAACGTGTTCTGGTTATTTTAAGGTTAATAGCTATATTTTTTTTTCTTCTTTTAAATCTAGTTTGCATTCCCTGAATAAAGATTGACGTCTTAAAGACGCTACAAATGTACAGCTGATCGCTATGTGCAGGTGGGAATAAAGAAAGATTGATACATTTTATGAAAAGTTCTTGCGTATTTATTTAAAGTATTATAAAATACGATAGTTGACATTTCTGACGTATTTTCAAAGCTTGCTTCTCGTGACCAATATTTCTACGATTCCTGAATACTTTGTTTCATTAAAAAAAAAAAAAAAAAAAAAAACTGGGTTTTAAAGTATTATAAAATACGATAGTTTACATTTCTGACGTATTTTCAAAGCTTGCTTCTCGTGACCAATATTTCTACGATTCCTGAATACTTTTTTTCATTAAAAAAAAAAAAAAAAAAAAACTGGGATTCAGATCTGCGACTGACCTCTGACCACTGGGCAGATGTGATACGTCGGGATTAGCCTGAATGGTTCGCCGTTGGGCAGGTCCGTGGTCAAGGCGACAGCTTCTTTGTTCTTACAGCAGAACTTGGCGTGGACCGTCGTGTTGTTGATGGTTATGTCCCCTATACTTCCGTTTGGATGGACGGCGCTCGACGTCTGAAACTCGAGGGCGCCATTTTCAAACGCTTTGAGAAGACGAGAAGTTTGAATCAAAACATTGTTTTAAAATAAATCTAAGGGTTATTATGAGGAAGAGAAAAAACAACAACTCAAATAACAATCTAGCTTGCTATTTTATAAACGTTTGAACAATAATGACCAAACAATTAATAAAAAAAAAAATAATAATAATTAAAAACCAAGTCTTTCGTATATATCCTTTAGATGCATTTTAATTATTTTATTTTATTTTAAGATTCGATTGTTCCCCCCGCTTCTACGCCGCAGATTTATTTCACCAACCATTTCAGTAAACAAAAGAAAATATGACGCACCAAACGAACTTGCACATTTTTTTTTTCTTTTAAAGAATCTCATTTAGCGCAGTGATCAGGAATTTTACGTCGTGAAGTCCGTTGAATTAAATTTCCTATATCTTGACTTTGAAAAAACAAGGAAGCATGATTTTTGGAGGTTGTTGCTGAGGGTGGGACTTAAGATTTGATATAACGTGTTGTCATCGGCAGCGAGCTTATGTACCAAGTTTCAGCTCGATAGGTTGACTGGAAGTGGGTCAATTAGCTTTCCGAAAAAAAAGAGAAAAAAACTGCGTTCCTGCCAGCCAGCCCCTGAACAAAAGTGAAGTTAATATGAGGGATAAAAATTTTTTAAAAAATAACATTAACTGATTATTTCTTTAAGTAAGCAAGAACTTATTCCAGTGAAAATGTAAGTGAGATAAAGAAATATTTTCTTTTTCTTCTTCTTCTTCATTCTATTAAGGGCCCACGATCAATCTATTGATCATCCTGGCTCCTATGTTGTTTTTTTTTATACATTTACTGTGAACGCTGTTAAAATTAGTTAAGAAAAAGAAACATAAAACAAATACATGTTTTCCAGACTCATGACAGGACTCAAAATGTTGAGATCATGGTGGGAGCTTAAAAAGAAGAAATAGACAAATAGAAAAAAATTGAAGGCGCCTTTCCACTATATATTTTCACCAAGTGAAATCAAAATCCCACAGTCTAGTTTTAAAAAGATGGACGGAACCACGGGTTCTCAAACCTGTGCTGAGGGCAGGGGCGTAAAAAACGGCGAGGCGGATGTTTTTTTCTCTATATGGAGTGGCGGCATTTTCGGAGAACTGCCCAATTTTTGTTTTCTCGTGGAATTGGAGTGGGCAAAACTATTTGACACCACACTTGCTAAACCAGTGTTATGACATGAGACTTCTTAAGTTTTTTTTGCATCAACCCCGACATCCCCATACCACTTTTCCTAATAATCATTAACTTTAAAGAAACGGGGAAAGGCCTTAAGGGCTCCCACACATAATTTATTCTAAAAAAAAAAAGGACACTGCAATTCAAAAATATGTTGGGAACCGCTGAATGAAATGAAAGAATTAAAGAGGAAACAACCTAATCCATTGGTCCTAACAAATGTGTTTAAAGCGGCCATGTTCCCTTTAATGTCTTGAGGAGAGAGTTCACTTACGTCCTCCACACTCCACGCCGACGGGTTTGACGAAACAGAACTGTCCCCCGAGGGGCCAAGACCACCAGTCGACGTCCCCGGGGTCGAGCGGGGTGGACTTGGTGCACAGGGGCACGCTCAGGGTGTGTCCGGCGATGGGGTAGGTCACGGGCACCGGGGCTTGCCTGGGAGTGTAGGTGGCGGTCAGAGGCAGCCAGCCGGGCGTGGGGTCGAACCCCGTGGGGCATTTCGTGTCACCGTAGAACACCATCGGCGTGTTGGGCCAGGTCAGGTTGGACGTCGCTGAGAGAAGGGAAAGAAATGAATGTGTTTGGAGAAAGGCTAATTTCTTAGAAATCTGTGAATAAAGATAACGGCATTGCTGAAAATACTTTAAAAAAAAAGAAATATATATTAATATATATACATATAACTGAAACTATATTTCAATCATTGTAGATCAGTAAAATTGGTTGCGCTCACTTGTTTCAGCTTTAATGTCACCACCCTTGTAGAACACGAGGTGGGTAAGATAACGCTTGGGTTTGAAGGGGGAGGTAGGGGATATTATTATTTTTTTTTGTCTAGGGGTGAGGGATTTGGGTATGGATTTAGGGGATAGGGCAATAGGGTGTTTTGGGCAGGGGGGGATGGTGGCATTGTGGATTCAGATATAACAGTTTACCATACCAGGTTAAGTGGTCATTGAGCTTCCGAAACCCTGTTATCCCATTAAGATCTTCATAACCACAATTTAAGACCAACCCTGTTTTCAATGTTTGATCAGCAGCGCCACTGAAGGAATCGTGTTTGACATGTCGTCTCAAAAAAAAACAAAACAACAAAAACAAACTCTCGCCTAATGTATATAGCATCTAGTATGTGAAAAGAAAACATTCCCCCCCCCTCCCACCCCCTACCCCCACCCCCCCCCTTGAGAATGTGATAAATATTAGAGACATTTTTTTTAAAAATCAGTTTTTAAATTGAAGTATATTTTGTGCAGCCACACTCACGCCCGTTGATTTGAGACTTGCAGTTGGCGGCAGGGTCAAGTTCATCGGGGCAGACGCACCGGCAGGTGCCCTTGACCAGAGTGTGGTAGCCAGGCCCGCAGTCCGTCTGGTCATTGTTGCAGAAACGTTCTTTGAACAAAGAAAAAAAAATATACCAATCTAAGTAGTTTTCGTATAACAAGGTCGACTGAGAGTGGCGTTTCTTGTTGTTGTTCTTGTCGTTCTCTGTCCTTTGCATGTCGTTTTGTTTCGTTACTCAAACAGTTTGCAAAAAGTAAATAAATCAAACTGATCTAAACTGTGGTATAACGTGCATGAACGCTTTACACTCCCACATTAAATGTAACAAACCTATTTTTAAAATAAATTTGCGACAGTTCACAATTTTTTTTTTAAAATTAATATGACAGCTCCACTGATGACTCCGCAACCCACCCCACCCCCTTCGAAAACCAAACAAGCCCCCCCCCCCTCCAGATATGATCGCTTACCATTACATCGATAAACCCGGGAGAGCTCAAAGAAGACCACATTTTCATCGGAGAACTGCGTGCCCAGATGGAACATATCGTCTCTGAGTGGGGTGAACGTCTCCAGCCCGTCTTTGTTCCAGGTCTCATGAAAGAAATCAAGACAACAAGAGTCCGGTATTTACGCCGTGCACTCGGTTAAGCAATAAAGCGTACCTTATACCACACGATAAGAATGTAATTTCTCGATGACGCATTTAAAATCAAACAGCCCTTAAAAAAACAATGTTTATCGAATAAATCCTTTCTGTGCGTTTTTAAATTATCTTATTTAATATTGAAATGACCCACCCGCTCTTACACCACAGATTTATTTCACCAACCATTTCAGAAAAAACAAAAGAAAAAATTGCACACCAACTCAATAGCTCTATTTTTATTTCGTGGAGTCAGCGTCATCATATTTTCTTCATCTTCCCCTTAAAAAATCACATGTAGAAAAAATTGATTTTTTGGGGGAGATGGAGTTGTAGGGTGGGGATGAAATTTTTTTTTGAATGTTTTGTCAATGATATCGAGTCTACGTGCCCAGTTTCAGCTCGATTGGTTGACGGGAACTTTCACTTGGTGCCGAGGACAACACATTCGATCAACTTTTGAAGCCCCAAACCCCCAAAATTAGTATTTAACAAATAAATAAAAAAATGTAACCTCATCATATTTACCGAGTCTCCGTACATCATAATGGAGTCTGAATCGAAGTAGTCATTGACCAAGTTCGGGTCTTTGATCTTACGGTAGGAGTAGAGGAGACCTGAAATAGAGGAGACCTGAAATATAATAAATCTGAAGTAGAGGAGATCTGAAATAGAGGAGACCTGAAATAGGGGAGATCTGAAGTAGAGGAGATCTGAAATAGAGGAGATCTGAAGTAGAGGAGATCTGAAGTAGAGGAGATCTGAAGTTGAGGAGATCTGAAGTAGAGGACTTCTGAAGTAGAGGAGATTTGAAGTAGAGGACTTCTGAAGTAGAGGAGATCTGAAGTAGAGGAGATCTGAAGTAGAGGAGATCTGAAGTAGAGGAGATCTGAAGTAGAGGACTTCTGAAGTAGAGGAGATCAGAAGTAGAGGAGATCTGAAGTAGAGGACTTCTGAAGTAGAGGAGATTTGAAGTAGAGGAGATCTGAAGTAGAGGAGATCTGAAGTAAAAGAGACCTGAAGTTTGGTGATCATTTAGTTATTATTGAACAAAAACTGTATAGAAATCAACTTTTTAAATATTACAACGCCAATGAATTGTAAACTATTGTACTTAAAATTATGGTGAATCAAAAAGATTTAACATAAGATCCTGATTAGTTCTATCAACAAGTTTACCTACAAGATCCTGATTAGTTCTATCAACAAGTTTACCTACAAGATCCTGATTAGTTCTATCAACAAGTTTACCTACAAGATCCTGATTAGTTCTATCAACAAGTTTACCTACAAGATCCTGATTAGTTCTATCAACAAGTTTACCTACAAGATCCTGATTAGTTCTATCAACAAGTTGACCTACAAGATCCTGATTAGTTCTATCAACAAGTTTACCTACAAGATCCTGATTAGTTCTATCAACAAGTTTACCTACAAGATCCTGATTAATCAAATCAATAGCGTGACTATCATATCCTAATTAATCCTTTCAATTATTTTAACTATCACATCCTAAATTAATCCTTTCAAAAATGTTAACTTAAGCTTCCTGAGTAATCCTATCCAACAAATCATCTCTCAGATCTAGATTAACCCTCTCAAAAAGTTTAACTATGACATCCTTATTAATTCGATCACCAAGTTTAACTCTAACCTCCTGAGTATTCCTATCAAACCAATCAGCTCTCAGATCTGAATTAACCCTCTCTAAAAAAAAAAGGTTTACTTGACTTGATGTCCTCCTCGTTGACTGACAAGTACGAGTCTCTGATGCTCCCCTCCTGGGTGTGGGCGACGCCCAGCGTGTGCAGCATTTCGTGAAGGTTAATGCCCTGTCAGGACACACGAAGCAATAATTACAACAACAACAACTAGAAAAAACAAAAAAAAAGATCTTGAGACAGCGTTGAGTTGAGGAACCTTTCATGAAATCGTTTGATTTATATAAGCAAAGATAAACGTAGATTAAAATTTTGCATTGAATCCACCCCCCCCAAACCTTTTTTTTAACCCCCCCCCCCCCAAGCTGACCCCAAAAAAAAATTAAATAAATAAATCGTAAATTATTTCATCATAATTTCTTTCACATGAGTTCTTACAGAAGATAAAAAAAAAAAAAAAAAATTTGGGGACAGTGGTGAGTAGAGGAACCTTTCATGAAAACGTTTGATTTATATAAGAAAAGATAAACGTAGATTAAAATTTTGCATTGAATCCACCCCCCCCAAACCTTTTTTTTAACCCCCCCCCCCCAAGCTGACCCCAAAAAAAAATTAAATAAATAAATCGTAAATTATTTCATCATAATTTCTTTCACATGAGTTCTTACAGAAGATTTTAACCGACGCGTCTTAGAAAGAGGTTTTAAGAAAAATGTTCTTTTAACCCAATTATTCCGTCATTTCCTACAAAGCTATAACGTTTTATCAACTCTTAACTTAGATCCTACTTCTGATTGAAACAGACAATGGTTTAGGTTAATTGTGCAGCTAGAACAGTGGCTCTCAACATCTCTAATGCCGCGACCCTTAAATAGATATTCTCATGTTGTGGTGACCCTCCCCCCCCCCAACCCCCCAGCTACAAAATTATTTTCGTGGCCACTTCATAAATGTAGAGCACATGTGTTTTCAGATGGTCTGAGGCGACACCCGAGAGAGGGTCGTGCGACCACCCAAAGGGGTCGCGACCCACAGGTTGAGAACCGCTAGGCTAGAAGTTTTAGTAAATCGTGATTTTTTTGTTTTGTTTGTTTAGCGCGCATGAATATATGAAAAGGCGGAAACGGGCTGTATTAAATAATGGGCAAAATGTTGGACTTACAAAACCGTTACAAGGGTAGACCACTTGGATGCCATAGCCTGGACCTTGACCGTACGAGCCAAAACATCTAACGGTGGAAACACATGGATGCTTTTAATGCACGTTGCAATACACGTTGCAATGCATGTTTCAATACATGCTACAATACATGTTACAATACAAGTCAGAATATAAGTTACGATACATGTGTTATAGCTTATGTCTTAACATAATTTTAGTTCAACGTTGATCTACAGCGTCCACAACTCCTCTTCTATTTTTGTTTTCATATTGACGTCACTGATTGAATGTGTAGAGCTGTACCTATTGCCCACCCCTCCCAAGATTGGGAAAAGGTTGTTTACGTTGGAATACGATCTATTTAGTTCTAAAGAATGCTATCGGGCGATGCAAGTTCTAGAATTTATCTCCGGAGTCTTCCAACTTGCTACCCTTTAATATTTTTTTTTAAATTCTAAATTTTCTAGGCAACTTTAGATCACCGAATGCAGCAACTATCCCCTGCCTGCGCTGCCGGAGATTATTCCGAGCACGGATCGGACTGGCAAGCCACCTACGAACTGCCCGTAACCCCTCACCCCCAGACCAACCTAACCAGATGAATAGATGGTCCTAGTCGATATTGACGGACGAACCTCTTACAATATATTCTACTAGATAGAGCCCGCCAAACATTTGCGGCGTGAGCTTCCCATCAAACAAAGTTACTTGACAAAACATGAACTCAAGGAACGCACATTTAAGAATCCCAATATTTGCTACACCCCTTCCTTCTCCCATGATACGTCACTGCACACTTTTTATTTCACGCCCATGAACTATATTAATATTCTCATGTCCCAGCCACTTTTAAACTGAATATTTTTTACACAATACTTAAATTGAGACGATTTCATTACCGAAAAGAAAATATTACGCACCAAAAGCAATCGCGTAATTAAAAAAAAAATATATATCATATATAGCTTAGTTATTGGGAATTTTATTTTGCGCGCTAGTGAACTCATTATTGAACTACACTCTGGCGTATCTAAAAATAGTCTGCATGGTGGCTGAACCGTGTTGGTGTTTGAAATTTGCTGGCAAATTATGTATATAGATAATACATGTTGCTATATTTGTTACAATGCATGTTTCAATACATGTTACACCTTAATTATTGGGCACACAATTTCGTATGAACAGGTCTAAAATTGTAACATCTCAGTTGAGTCGCTAGAGTTTGTGACGTCAAGAGGTGGTCCTTGACATTGCCGCCAACTACACCGCATACACAATACACATTAAAAATAGTTGTGAAAATCATATGAAGTGGAGCGAAAATGCCACCGTAAAATAGATTGCAACGGGGCAGACCATCCGGCTCCTCCCACCCCCCCCCCCCNCCCCCCCCCCCCGATCTTCCACGCGCTTGACCCATCATTATGTTAACATAAAATTAAATATTGCGTGTAAAGCAATAAATGTATTCATGTTCATTGGAAATATTAGTGAAGAATAGTAATTAATAAGTAACAGGAGTTCATGTCTGTAACACCGCCCCCCCCTACTCTTCCAAGTTTATGTCCCCACCATTCTGATTCCCACCCCACCCACCCCCAACCCCCTTCTCCTCTCACTCTCTAACCAATATCAAAACAGCTCTTGATTTTTGTCCCCTCCAAAATTCTCTAATATCCTCCAGATATCTAATTCCTCACTCTGTCTACTCGAGACACAATCTCTACCCCTACTCTCTACCTCAAATATCTACGCCCACTCTTTGATTCCACTCTCTAACCTATTCACACATCACATAACAACTTTGAAATTTTATTTCCTCTTCTCAGCCGGACATTCTTAGAACTCGAATGACCGCGGCACTGTCACTATAGCAGGAAATAGAAAAAAATTCAACTTGCCCACTTCCGCCGCTGATTTGCACGTACGAGTTGCTGGTGTAGTTGTTTTTGGCGAACCACGTGGGGTCGTTCTGGTCGTAGGTGTTCGTGACGTCGTGGAACGTGACGCAAACCCGGCTGGAGATGAACCTCAGCGCGAGCCGGAACGCGGCCACGTCACCTATTTGAATGCGAGATTGGTTATTTTTAGAGCCCGAACAGACCTGTTATGAATGTAAAATGGAGTATCTGAGACCCTTAGCAGTCCTGCCAAGGTAGTTATGTTTTCCCAGAGTCATTATTGATCATCAAACTAACGGATATCCTCTACTCTGTATAGGTGCATAGTGGTAATGGACTGCTTTACAAGTGGAGCATTCGATTCCCAAATTCAGCGAAGTGTGACCAGAGTATAATTACCGCACACAATCAAGAAATATCTTTATATGATGAACCGTCTCCACATTCGGCAAAACCTCAGAAGAATGGGGAACCATTGGGGAACCAATGTGGAACCAATGTGGAACCAATGTGGAACCAATGTGGAACTATTGGTGTAAACATGTGAGGACCGATTGTTGTGAGGAAACCAGGCATTTTTGGAGGACGTGCACATGCCATATAGGATGTCCAGTTAACTACAAACGTGGCTCAAACGGGTGAATGACATATTTGGACTTCACACCCATGAACGTGCGGTAAATGACCGATTGGACTACACGCCTGTGCACGTGCGGTAAATGAGCGATTGGACTACACGCCTGTGCACGTGCGGTAAATGACCGATTGGACTACACACCTGTGCACGTGCGGTAAATGAGCGATTGGACTTCACACCCATGAACGTGTGGTAAATAAGCGATTGGACTACACGCCTGTGCACGTGCGGTAAATGAGCGATTGGACTACACGCCTGTGCACGTGCGGTAAATGACCGATTGGACTACTCACCTGTGAACGTTTTGTGAATGACGTACGGGATGTCATGCGGCCAGTTTTTGTCCGTGGCATTGTACACCGCCCGTTTACTTGCGCCTGCATTCACAGCTTCTACCAAGTGTGCGGTGAACGGCCCACTCGACCTGCAAGGAAGAGGTTATCGTACTTTTGTGTGTGTGGGTACGATGTGTGGTGTTAGGGTGATGTTGAAGATTAATTAGACTTTAGGCAGGTGAAGCACGGACACATAGGACGATGTTTAAGATTAATTAGACTTTAGGCAGGTGAAGCACGGACACATAGGGTGATGTTCAAGATTAATTAGACTTTAGGCAGGTGAAGCACGGACACATAGGATGATGTTGAAGATTAATTAGACTTCAGGCAGGCGAAGCAGGGACACATAGGATGATGTTGAAGATTAATTAGACTTCAGGCAGGTGAAGCACGGACACATAGGATGATGTTGAAGATTAATTAGACTTTAGGCAGGCGAAGCAGGGACACATAGGATGATTTTGAAGATTAATTAGACTTCAGGCAGGTGAAGCACGGACACATAGGATGATGTTGAAGATTAATTAGACTTTAGGCAAGTGAAGCACGGACACATAGGATGATGTTCAAGATTAATTAGACTTTAGGCAGGTGAAGCACGGATACATAGGATGATGTTGAAGATTAATTAGACTTCAGGCAGGCGAAGCAGGGACACATTTGTTTCTGACCTAAATGACTGAATTTGTTTCACAATAAAAGGCATTATCATTACATGTCTGTCTTCATAAGACGGAAGAAAGAGTCCATTTAAGACAATTTATATTTACTTATAAGTGTTGTAAATAAGTTTCAGTTAGGATTCACTTAATGGAAGAAAAACAGTTTGCAGCTGTAGTCAAGAAGCATGTACCTGGTTAAACGCGTGTATTTGTAGTCGCTCTTATTGGGAAGAGTCTCTGGTGTTAAGACGAGTGGGTCATTCGCTCCACCAAAGCCGACACGAATACTGTTAAGCTGCATAAAAAAGGAGATGGGAAATGAAACTGAATGAAAGTACATAATTCTTTTTTTTTTATTTTTAAAAGCAAATTTATTTTTTTTCAAAATAAATTGAACTTTCTGAAAAGCACTATTTTAAAATAACAACACGTTCATGAGAAAACTGTAAGCACTCACCGGTTCTTCCAGCAGGACAGCCCCGGAGACAGCGCTAAAAAGTAGAATCAGACCCGCAGGGCACAGCGTTGAAATCATGCCTGAAGGGGTTGAGTAACGAAGTGTTATTTCTTAAAACAAAACATAGAACTCGATTACAGGGCTTCAGTTGCGACATGGCCAAGAGAGGGATAAGACAGCATAAAAGGTGCTAACTTTAGTGCTGCCTGGCCAAGAGAGGGATAAGACAGCACAACAGGTGTTAGCTTTGGTGCTACCTGGCCAAGAGAGGGATAAGACAGCATAAAAGGTGCTAACTTTAGTGCTGCCTGGCCAAGAGAGGGATAAGACAGCACAACAGGTGTTAGCTTTGGTGCTACCTGGCCAAGAGAGGGATAAGACAGCATAAAAGGTGCTAACTTTAGTGCTACCTGGCCAAGAGAGGGATAAGACAGCACAACAGGTGTTAGCTTTGGTGCTACCTGGCCAAGAGAGGGATAAGGCAGCACAACAGGTGTTAGCTTTAGTGCTACCTGGCCAAGAGAGGGATAAGGCAGCAAACAGGTGATAACTTCAATGCTACCTGGCCAAGAGATGGATAAGGCAGCACAACAGGTGTTAGCTTTAGTGCTACCTGGCCAAGAGAGGGATAAGACAGCACAACAGGTGTTAGCTTTAGTGCTACCTGGCCATGAGAGGGATAAGGCAGCAAACAGGTGTTAACTTCAATGCTACCTGGCCAAGAGAGGGATAAGGCAGCACAACAGGTGTTAGCTTTAGTGCTACCTGGCCAAGAGAGGGATAAGACAACACTACACATGTTAAAATGGTTTACACCAATTTAGGAAATCATCAGTTTCAAAACAACATGAGGTGTATATGTGTGAGGGGGGGGGGCGACTCTTCTTACATATCAACTTTAAAAAACTGAGGTTACTTCCTTTTATCGTATAAAACATCTTTCCTGTACATAACTACATTGACCGTCACTTAAAAAACGATTCATATCTCATTGAGAGACATAGACAGTTAAGTATAGATATAGATACATATAAAGAGAGACATGGACAGAGAGACACATATAAAGTGACATAAATGAGACATGGACAGAGAGACATAGATGCAGAGACATAGATAGAAAGATATAAATAGAGATATATTATAGAGAGACAAATATATATATATATATATATATATATATATATATATATACAGAGATAGAGAGAGAGACATAGACAAACAGACATAGACATAGATACATGGGTAGAGAGACATAGACACAGAGAGAGCAAGAAAGTTGTAGCACCCCTCGTTCACTCACGGTAAGATAAGAAAATAAAAAGATAAAAATAAAAATATAAAATAGAGAGATAAATATATATATATATATATATATATATATATATATATATATATACAGAGATAGAGAGAGAGACATAGACAAACAGACATGGACATAGCTACATGGGTAGAGAGACATAGACACAGGGAGAGCAAGAAAGTTGTAGCACCCCTCGTTCACTCACGGTAAGATAAGAAAATGGTGAGACAAGTTTAAAAGAACAAGTTTTAAAAGTAAATTTTAAAAATTGACAATTTGGTCTAATTTTCAGCAGAAAGTCAGACAAGAGAGTCAAGTTAGTTCAAGGGATGATACAAATAGATACTGTTGCGTTGAGTTGAAGAAAATAGGGGAACACGATATTATATTTAGACTTGAAATGAAAAAAAAGAAAAAAAATACATGAAAATTCTTCTAGACTTGAAATGAAAAAAAAAAAAAAAAATTCATGAAAATTCTTCAGCGGACGGAACAAAAAAAGAAAATACAAATAATTAGAAATAAAAAAAAAAAAAACAATAGAAAAAAAAAAAAAAAAAAAAAAAAAAAAAAAATTATTCAAAAATTAAAAAAAAAAAAAAAAAAAAAAATTCATGAAAATTCTTCAGCGGACGGAACAAAACAAGAAACTACAGATAATTAGATATAAAATAAAAAAGAACACTAGAAAAAAAAAAGTGTGTTTGAATATTTCAATGAAGTTGACGTAGCTCTCTATTTATGAAACATTGACTTGGCTGTCAGAGGAAGAGAAAAAAGTAAGGAAAGAAGAGTTTTCTCAATAGTCTTGTTCTAGGTGTTAATTGAAAGGCAACGCTACTACAACAGGACTGTTAGATCAATTGCTGTAATTTTCTTCAAGTATTTTGGTTTTGTTTAACTACAACCTAACAACAACATCTTAAAGAACTGATTTCTAGGCCCGTTTTTTTTTAAGAACCTGCGCTCTTCAACACAGTCCTTACTGAGAGTTCCTAGTGTGGATGTACACAGAAAGAAGTCATCACGGAGAGCGCCCTTTTGAAGCTATTGCGCCTACATTATGGAACAATTTGCCTCAGTCTTTGTGGGAATTCGAATTTTTTTTTTTTTTTTAATAGTTTTAGAAACATTAAGAGACCCTATTTTTAAAAAAGATTTTTGGACATCAGAGCGCCGTGAGCATGCTGGAACAGCAAGGATTCAGGCGCTATGAAAGGGTTCAATACAATACAATACAATCTTTAATGGGATCTGGGTGTGATTTGGCCGCAGTCTGACAGCAGCATGACTGAAATCAGACTGAAATCAACTTAACTGCGAGTGTGTTTTCAGCAGTTTTAAACTTACATAGATAGATGTGCATACGGTATACTTCAGCAGTACAATTATACTATTCGGTTTATTATATAGGGACGTAACCTGTACTCTTCATTTAGCTTTATAGGCGTGCAACTTTACAAACGTTAGTGGGTCGTTTTGTTGTAAGCATCGCACATCCGGTTGGAAAAGATCTTTGAATGTCTGCCGATGCATACAACGGTTTGTCCATGAAAACATGCAGTGTGACCTGTGCACGGTGTGACCCCGCAGCAATCAGGTGAATGGTATCGAATACAAACAATTAAACTCCGATACCAGCTGACATTTGCTGCGCTTTAACTGCTTTAATCGAAAGTACAATAGGTTCACTCATATCTTCCTAAATTATAATGAATTCCAAAAAAATAAAAGGTCTTTCATTTTTAAGAAAAATTCGCGGGATTGTGAAAGGGCTTGAATTTTTTCTCTCGAAGACTCAGACACATAACACTCTCATTATGATGACCTCATTAGCCATGGCAGTTTCTGATAAGATAGTGAATTAGAAGATGGTTGATGGGAAGGTATTACACAAATCATGTAAATGCAACGGGGCTTTATCTAAGAACTGTATTATTAAACACATTTTTTGAAATGTAAAAAAAAAAAACAGCAGATATTTCAGCATGTTTTAATACGTCGAGATGGTCGTTTTAATTTCTAAAAATAGGTTAAATTATTTATATTTGTTGAAGGTTGTCTACACAGTCTCAGGAACACATTAGAGGTGTGGGGAAGGGGTGGCACATTCTCCTTAATATTAACAGGTTCAACTGCAGCGGGTATTTTCATGGAAAGGGGCGACAAATTTTTGCTGCGCCCCAGGTGGCACCAAACCCCAAGCTACACCACTGCACAGTGATGATGAGGAAAAGGTAAGATTTAAACATTAAAAAAAAAAACTTTTTAATCTGCACAGAAGTTCAATATCGACATCATTTTAGATGCCTACTGTGTCGGGTGCTGGTGGGTGGTGCAACAGGGAAGTGGGGGGGGGGAGGGGGTCGCCATTTAGCTTGGCTTACAATAATTCCTGCTTCAAAACTTTTTTTTATCAGATGTTACATATAATGATGGTTTGACTTATCACACGTTCAGACCATGGACACATTAGAATTATTTTATTTAAACATTCATTTACAATGAAAAAAAAATGGTTTTAAATCGTATGAACATCATGCTGATACACATATATGATAAAATAACAAAATAAATCAAATATTCTACCTCAAGGTATCACTAAGCTGTCCTCGCCGTCCCAACCTAAACCAAGATTTCCAAAGTAAAGTGATGCTTTAAAAAAATAAAAATAAATACAATAAAAATAACATCAAATCCTCACATCTGAATCTGTAATCTAACTTGAGTGAACAACTTCCGTCATTGAATTCAGGCCAGGCACCTGGCGCTTCACAGCTGAACCAAACTAAAACCGTGATAACAAAATCGCCCCCAGATCTGTGAGAAAGACGGAATCGTAAAATCTCACTGGAGTCGACTTTATTATAATCATCATGCGCACCAATCTGAATGTATCATGCGCACCAATTTCTCTAAATAGCTGATGAAATTCCAAAGGATCTTTAGAAGAAAGAAAAAAAAAAAAGATTGTAAGGGAGTTTACTCAAAATTACTGAAAAGTTTAAGCTTCCATTCCAGTAAGACTTTTGATTACTAAGTAATACTAAGTTATCATTTCTAATCCACTTTAAAAAAAATCTCACTTGAGCGCAACAGTATTTCATTACGTGGACATACTTGGTAACAGAACAGAAAGATACACATTTAGATACAAGTTAATTTTAATTTAATTTAGTACCTGCGATGATCTTTGATTAGCCGGTGCTCGTTGACATGCACTGCCAGACACATTTATTTAGACAACTTTTGAAACAAAAAGATGAAGATGAGGCGTATCCTCATATCCTTATATCCTCCTCCGAAGAACGCAAAGCCACTGAGAACAGATAAACAGAATGCCACGATCTACATTAGAAAAAAATAAATAAATCTAAGTTAAACCAATAAAAAAAAAAGAAAGAAAAAAAAGAAGTAAGCGTAGTGCTACTTTAGGTATTACGCTTGTGTCGTGGGTAATACGTGGCGCTTGTTCAGTTACTACACTTGTGTCGTCAGTAAAGCGTAGTGCTACTTTAGGTAATACGCGTGTGTTGTGGGTAATACGTGGCGCTTGTTCAGTTACTACACTTGTGTCGTCAGTAAAGCGTAGTGTTACTCCAGGTTCCTACGCCCGTGTCTTAAGACTGTAAGTTATCCTTTCAGAAGAAAGGACATTGATCTTTGACCGACACGTCTCTGACTAAAATGATAAAATTTCATGCCTTTGATAGCTCCCGTACGATGACCTCTCACACGGCGTCTGACGTGAACCCCGTGATGACCTCTGCCATGACCTCAGGGATGACCACCTCAAGGACATCCATGACGGTGTTTTGGATCGCCCTCCTCATTTCAATGTGGTCTAAAGGTGATTTGAAATCTGGGGCGTATGGCGGCCTTGGTTTTTTTTTTTTGGTTTTTTTTCCAAGCCTCACAACATTAGCAGTCTAAAATTCTTCCGTCAACGGTTAAATAATTCATTAAAGACTAACTTTTCTCCCACATTTAGAAATTTTGTTTCATTCACAACATATATGCAGTGGCGTAGCTATGGTCGGAGCCACCAAGCTTTTTTTTTTATTTTACCCAACGCCTCTCCCCACTTTTCAACAAAATAAATTAACACTTCGCCGAGAAATGCCGGCCTTCTCAATGTCAAGACAGAGAGAGTACAAAATAACAAATAAAAGTTTTGCCCCAGAAGACCGTCCCTCCGCACACACACCCACACCCCCACAACCCACCTCCTGTACGATGTATAAACCCATTTAAGTAAGAATACTGTCCTAAAATGTGTGTGGGAGGGGGGGGGGACAACAAACCAACCCATTAAGAGGCAACATTGATCCATGTTTCCCAACCGGTCTGTTCCCCAGGGCTCCTCACGATCAGATACGAGACCGGGATACGCGCTGTGGCCTCGGGCTCCTGCCCCTACGGACTCTTGGCCGACGCCGACCCTCTCATCGTGACCGGGGACCTAGACTTTAGCTCCGATGAGCATCCGACGGCGTACGACATGCACTTCACTTTCGGACCCAAGGACGCTGAAAACTTAACCGACCTGGTGGGTTTAATGCAACATAGACGCCTGGTGGATCATGATTTTTAAAAAATCATGCATCATCGCTGTTCCATAGGGGGGGAAAAAAAAAAAACCCAAAACAATAAAGAAAAAAAAATTGTAATAATCTGCAACACGTGAATATTAAAATGGTGCCTGGTGGAACATGATTTTTAAAAAATCATGCATCATCGCTGTTCAAAAGGGGGGGAAAAAAAAAAACCCAAAACAATAAAGAAAAAAAAATTGTAATAATCTGCAACACGTGAATATTAAAATGGATTATCCAATCCTTATGAGTGTTTAGTGTAGTAGTGTTGTTGAGTTTAGTCCTAATTATTCTATCTCTCTTGCGCTTGTATAGCGCTCTATGCGATAAAATCAGTGGTGCGGGCGGGAATGGCGCCGCCAAGGATGAGCTAAGGTTTTTTTGGGGTGCCTCTCTCCTACACTCACAAAAGAGAAGAACAAAAACAGCATGAGGCCGGGTACGGCCCCAAATAGAGAGGAAAGGAAGTGCCCTCCAGGGCGGACCGTCTACCTCACCTGTTTCTTTGTCTGTGGATACAATAGTGGATTGATGTCTGTTTCGTTGGCTGTGTGTGGATTTGACATAGGATACAATTATAGAAACATTTTTTTCTCTCTTGGAAGTAGTAAAAAAAAAAGGTGGTCTTACTGCGTCAAAATACCTATTTCCTTTGACAATGCATCACGAATTGCATTGCAGCATGTCACAGTTCCTAGCCGTGATCATTCAAAAGTCGGTAAAAATACAAGTATTTGAGACACAAAAGATAGGGATGCAATTGGGATAACAAAACCCATTTTCTGACTTCAGGTTAAAAATCATAGGATCCGGGGCGGGGGGGGGGGGAGGGGGTGGGGGGGGGCGGCGGGGGGATATCATCTTACTGAATTGTACATGATACTTGGCTCATCAGCGGGTTGTTTTAAAAACTCTCTCTATTTAAAATACTCCTCCCCAAGCCAGTCGTCTGTACCATTCGCCTGATCCAGCTGTGCGGGGTCAACCACACGGCCGGATGCTACTGCCTCTTCCACCACGGCCACGACCACAGCTTCGTGTTCAACCGGACGGCGAGGCTGGAGTGGAGCGGCCAGTACATCCACGGGTATCTCGTGCGCGCGTCCGACCCGGACAGGAGGTGCTACTTCTCAACGCACGTCTTGGTGCCGAGAGTGTACGGTAGGTAAAGGACAAGTTTTGTTGTCGATCTTTGCGCCACTTTCAATGGCTCTGAAGTTGGCTGCTGTCTTTGAACGCATTTTCGATGTCTGGTGGGAGTGGAGGGTGGGGAAAAAATAACCCAATGGCTTTCACTTTTATTTCAAAAAAAAAAAAAAAAAAAATAAAAAAAAAAAAAAAGAAGA